GCACTCAAATGCAGCTTCCATGATGCTGATGGTTGGGGATAATGGGAATGGTAGTTCTCCCAATACATCTGTAAGTAACTGGGGGAAAGTTATTTTATCATTCTTCTAACTAGACATACCCAAACATTACTCCCATTGTATAGCTGAGGTTCAGTGAGGCTCAAGGTTTTCCCAAAGAAAACTGAGCATCCCCATTCCACCTCTGGATTCCGAAAATTAAAATATCAACTAGCAACAGATCAAAGCTGCATCTTTTGAAGCTACTTTACTCAGGGGGGAAAAAAAGAAAGTTGCAAAAGATGGGAGCAGCTTCTCACTCACATCGTCATTGGAGTTAAGATATACAGTTGCAAACTTAAGCGATCAGAGTACATTGGGTAAATTAAACACTATTTAAGTAGGCCCAATTACTCTGCTAATTGCATAGAAGGATAGTTAGGAGAGAAAAAATTTGCCCCAAGCAATTATTGAGGAACTTATTTTTACCCTTTCTTTGATGACTGTTTAGTGCTCTACATGAGCTATTTTACACTTTGCAGACCTGGAAATTGTTCATTGAATGCAGGTTTGACAGGGAAAAGTGTTTCTCTCACATGGCAGTGAACAGATGCTGGTTTAGAGATCAGCTAAAAAGCCTCAAGGATATTCCTCTTCCTGAGCAAATACTTGAGAGTTTTCATTTTCTCATTGCTATTTTTGATGGTAATACAGCCCCCCTCCCATTTTTTTTTGTCCATAGCAATTCAAATTTGAGAGGCCAGCTACAGCATTTGTTTAAGTCATCCCTTCCCTTAAGCCAAGATGGGATTTCTTTTGGCACATCAACCCAGCAAAAGATAGAGTAACAGAGTTGGAAGGGACCTTGGAGGTCTTCTAGTCCAACCCCCTGCTTAGGGAGGGAACCCTACACTACTTCAGACAAATGGTTATCCAACATTTTTTAAAAAATTCCAGTGTTGGAGCATTCACAATTTCTGGGGGCAAGTTGTTCCACTGATTAATTGTTCTAACTGTGAAGAATTTTTTCCTCAGTTCTAAGCCGCTTCTCTCCTTCATTAGTTTCCACCCATTGCTTCTTATCCTGTCCTCAGGTGCTTTGGAGTCAATAGTTTGACTCCCTCTTCTTTGTGCCAACCCCTGAGATATTGGAAGACTGCTCACATATCTCCCCTAGTCCTTCTTTTCATTAAACTAGCCATGCCTAGTTCCTGCAACTATTCTTCATATGGTTTAGTCTCCAGTCCCCTCATCATCTTTGTTGCTCTTCTCTGCGCTCTTTCTAGAGTCTCCACATCTTTTTTACATCGTGGTAAATAATACTTCCTTAACCTAGATTTAGGATTTAACCTACACGAACCATTCCAAACTCATCACGCAAGAGTTCTCCTGGCACATACATATATAAAAACCTCTTGCCTTGGGCAGGGAGCTGAACTAGATGACCTCCATGGTCCCTTCCAGATCCATGTTTTTATGTTTCCATGAGTCCATTTCTTGAGTCTGTTTTATTGACAGATGCTTTGCTCTCTGACTCATGAAGACACTATCATTTTTTTTAAAAAAACCTTTTATATAATAACTAATAAAATTGGCTATTATAATAAAATGCCTCTCAAGTTCAGCACAGTGATTGACACATCTTAACACATTCAGAGCCACAAAGTTCTCTTGGCTATAATTCATAACTGATTTAGAATAGAATAGAATAACACAGTTGGAAGGGACGTTGGAGGTCTTCTAGTCCAACCCTCTGCATAGGCAGGAAAACACTTCAGAGAAATGGTTATCCAACATATTCTTTAAAACTTTGTAGTTTTCACTGATTAATTGTTAATTAATTTACTCAAATGCTTTCTTCTGGAACTTTAAAAAATGCCCCAGTTTAGATTACTGTATACTTACAGCATTCTCTGCCCACTCCCCCACAACCAAGTACTTCTCAGAATGGTTGATCAAATTTAGCAACTCTAAGATGGGTTGACTTCAACTCCCAGAATTCCTCAGGCAGCACGGAATTCTGGGAGTTGAAGTCTACGCAACTCAGTATCGCTAGCTTTAGAATTCCTGATTTATGGAGTGTACTTTTCTTATAAGGTTCTTATAACAGAGAGATACAGATGTGGCTTCAGGTCATGCTCCCACATGCTGGATTTTGGAGGGGGCGGGGAGCATTTTTCTATTTTTACAAGCTTATATCCAAGAGAGGGCAGAAGTTGTGTAAAAACATGACATAGGTCAGGGTATCTCTCTGCCCTGAGCGCTTAAGTGAAGGGGGACTAAAAACAGTACATTATACCATTCAGAGAGTGTTAATATTTTTCCTCTTACAATGCCACTGAGTATAAGGATCAGGATAGCTCCTAAAGCTAACACACTACATTTAAATCACCAGGCTCAAGGTTGACTCAGCCTTCCATCCTTCTGAGGTCAGTAAAATGAGGACCCCGATTGTTGCGGGGCAAGTTGGTGATGTTGTAAACCACTTAGAGAGGGCTGTAAAAGCACCATGAAGGGGGTTATTGCTATTGCTAAATGTCTAAATTCCAATGCTCCCTGAACACAGTTCCCAGTAGGGGATTTGCCTACCTACGTCTCATAATTCCTGGTAAGGATGAAATACCTACCTCTGTGTAATTGGAAACATCACCCAAACACTGAGCAGATCTGACTCTGTTTAGATTTTGAGGATGAGTTACCTCCTTGTGGGAATAGAGCAGGCAGAATGGAGAGGGCAAACATATCATGGTTTTAGAGTCATGGCGTTTCCATTCCAAGCCCAAGCCCTCCTGAATTCCGTTAACCAATTTAGCATTGAACTTTAATGGACTGGATTCTTGTGCATAGCTATGAACAAATCTTCTATGCTGCAACCTAATCGGTGGTCCTGATTCTTTGTGCCTGAGTCTAACACTGCTTCTTTTGAGCCCCAAAGATCTGTTGTTAAGTGAGATCCTTGTTAAGGGATTTTAGCCCCATTTTATGACCTGTCTTGCCACAATTTTTTAAGTGAATCACTGCAGTTGATTAGTTAAGTCACGTGGTTGTTAAGTGAATCTGGGTTCCCCATTGACCTTGTCAGAAAGTCGCAAAAAGGGGGATCTTGTGACCCTGGACCCTGCAACTGTCATAAATATGAAGCAGTTGCCCAACATCTGGCTAGGAGCCAAGGTGGCGCAGTGGTTAAATGCAGCACTGCAAGCTACTGCTAGATCAGCAGTTCAGCGGTTCAAATCCC